TGCCATCATGATGAACAATGTATCAAACATTAATACAAACATGTACTACCAATAGATACTTTTGTTCTTATATGTTTGCTCTAATACTTTTTAAAGATTTCAACACATGTTTGTTTGTAAAGGTCTGTTTAAGAGCCTGAGCCTGAGCCTGGCTTTATGACAGGCTTCAGCTGACATTCTGCTAAAAAGTAGAGTGATATCTGTCAAACACGTTTAGAAAAATATGAAATGCCATCATGTCTCAAAAAACACGCCAGCTGGTACACGGGCTTATTTTCTTCTTAAATGTCAGAATGTTCATTATGGCTCACGCTGACTTCTGTAAACATTCTATCATATCAATTTACTTTGATGCACAAACTATGCGGTAAACTCAATGTTTCACATAAGAAACATCAATAAGACAAATGCGTGTCCTAAAATATGTGAACTACTGTTTGCGCATCTTCACAGACTGGAAGAATTGGATTACATTCTGGTACCTACTTGAATATTGGTACGGGTTAAGATAAAATCTCCAGAGATAGACCGTAGAAGTAAATGAAAAATTCTGTTCAACCTGTTTAATATTTGGTGTGTTTTTAACCATATGTGTGGGACACGATGTCAGTAATATAACCGCTGCTGCACCATCTACATTTACTTATGTAAACATTTTTTTTCCAAACTGTACCATCCAGGTTTGACTGATTGTGTTTCCTGTAGCATGGACGCGATCCTTCATATACAAACAATGTGTATGACAAAAAAACCTGTTAAGAGGCAGCATAATTATTAATTAATAAGTATGTGTCAAAATGTATTTTCAAACGTTTCAAAGTTATTTCATGCATCAAAAAGAATTGTTTTGTCTTTTCTAAGAGATTACTGTTCAAGATATTATAACGTGCAGATTTTACACTTATTCATTACTCAAATACAACGTTTGATGTTATTTTGACAAGAATTGTGAACCGAACACTGTGCTAGATGAAACGGCAATTACACATTTAGAACGAAAATGGCATAAGAAATTACCAAAGACACCGCCAATTGGCACGGAAATGTTTATGAATACAAAGAGAATGTGACAACTGCGAGCCTATGCAGAGTCTAGCAGTATTCCGCAAAACTTCACACCTTTTTTCATCCTAAGAGACTCACAGTTTGGTCGCAATTCCCATCGCACATCTGTGAAGTCATTGCGAACACCTAATTGTCAGAAATGGACATTGTGGCCATTTTGCTGTTAAAACCTTTTCCAAAAATACCATACTTGTGGTACATTTTTATTATGATGTCTGGTTCATTGGTGTAAAAAGACATTAATGTATAAATGCTGTAATCATTAAATAGGTCGCATTCCTATTATTCCATGGTGTAGAATCAGCGATCATAAACCAGATCGTAAAAGTACAAGTTTTTGCTTAATAATCTGACGTTCTAACCTGCAGCATATATTCACACCGAAAGTATTTTCCAAGTCGGATTGTTCAAAGATTCATTATAATAGCCGCGTGGTTCCAGCGTTTGTCCCTCATTTCTTTGCATATTTCCGCTTCTCTGAGCTCCTTATTAGCAATCCGGTCACGTTTTGGCGTGAAAAACCGGGTCTTTTATCTGGATAACATTCTTGCATCTAGACAGGATACTCTTACCGCATTTCATCATCTCAAACTGGAAGAGCTGCAACATGATACTTCGAATTGTATCTTTAAAATTGTTGCATTTCTCTGTTTCTTATGTTGATGGCAGTTAATATATCTAATCCCTAGTTTAACCTCATTTCGTTGCTATCGAACAGGAATCTCATCAATTTATGATTGCTACATGTGTATTCCCATAAACGCTACCCGTGGTGTTCCGAATTGGTCAACATGCTGGTTGTAAGGGGTGACTTATGGACCAGGGTCGGTGCCCTAGCGTGTCAACGGACCCCGATAGTGTGGATTGTTGCCCAATTTTTGTGTGGAGTGTGGAGTTGTACAACAAACACAACCACGCACGCACGCACGCACGCACGCACGCACGCACTCACACACAACCGGTATTTGATTATTCGTCAGCGTTATATTTAATATGCATGTATGTGTATACTCCTTTCAGTACTAAGCGTTCGCTCGTCACGCCGAAGACCCGGGTTCGATTCCCGACATGGGTACAATGCGTGAAGCCCATTTCTGGTGTCCCCAGCATTGATATTGCTGGAATATTGCTAAAAACGGCGTAAAATCACACTCACTCACTCACCCTTTCAGTACTACTGGTCTTGGGTGAGTGAGTGAGTCAGTGAGTGAGTCAGTGAGTGACATTCCATACCACTGGTATTGTGCTGACAAACCAGATTTTGAATCGTGAAAACAGCAAATTGTGGCGCTTTAAAAATCTTCCACTAATACCTCATCAGATTATGGCAAAGTTGAAACATGAGGTAAGTAACCCATCCATGTGTTAAAACATATAGGAGTGTTTTAAAATATCCGAACGTGATACTGACAATCGCAATTGAAGAAGTCCATTATGTAAAATAACAGTATTACCATGATAGTGAATACTACGGTAGTTAGTAGGCTTTTTGCTGGCTAAGAATCTAATTGGCCGACAGCGAGATCCCGAGTTCTCTAATCATGTACAGTAGCACACCACCGCTCCTTATGACATCGGAGCTAATGCCAAGGGAATCGCAACGTGCCAGACGTAATTCGGAGTTAGGGGGATTTTATCAAATAAACCGATGCTTAGAGGAGAACCAGTGTGCCCCCAGGTGTAAGGGGGACAACTCAGAAATGGGAATTTTGAATATCCTTAAATCAAAGTTACAATTATTGGCAATGGTTACCTAACGTCAGTTGACTACGAACCTGTAGTATTAACGCATTACCCCTCCAAGAACAAAATGGTGAACAGTTCCTTGATATCACCATATTGACCTTTTATCTGCGTAGCTCAGTCTATTATTAGAATAAAACTCGTAAGAGCTATTGGACAAAACCACAAGCGTTTCTATAAATGCGATGTTAGATATACTATAAACATGACGAGGTAACCCAATAACGATTCAGGTAAGATTCTCATTATTGCATAGCGTGTGATAATACAATTGGTCTCTAGCTGTTTTTAAGTAGTCCTACTTGAATTCGAAGCTTTAGGTACACATTGATGCTATACATTGCAACTTATATAATTAATAAATTACGTGCAATACATATTCAATAAAGCCGAATTCATTCGCACTTACAAACATGCCCCTATCAATTTTCATATAAATGCCTGAAATTTTTTTCACTTTTGTGTCTTTGGGGTTCCTTCAACCCGACTATTCTGTTGCTGGCGAATGTTATATGTTTTTGTAGGTACATTCTGTAAGAACATCTGTATTTTTTGGCGTGCTTAAGTGCCGTACCGTTAAAAAATAAGAACTAATATGTTTTTATATCCGTCCCATTCGCCCTCTTGAAAATATATCATTTCACCTTGGAAAAAAATAACAAGTTTCCCGTTTCATAAAAAAAAATCCTCGCTATAGTTTTTGTGAGGATATTTTTTTTTATTTTCTTGTCTTTAAACCCTCTGCATGTTCTCGTCTTTTAAGCTCTCAACATGAATACGGCAACCAAAAAACATTCAGAACTGTGCTTCAAAGCAGTAATATGTCACTTAATTAAAAACACACATTGGTATACCATTTCATCATACTTTACATCTTGTTCCAAAACTAGTACATTTTTGTCATGTATAATAATTCCTGATCGCAGTGCATTGCACATGAACGTTGTTCTCCGATGTTTAATGACAACGAGGAATGAAGATAATGAATATATCATGGGACCCGTTCTTCTCTTACACGAAAAACAGTAATTCGTTTTAACAAAATAATTCTCGCTACGTCCTTTTTATCCAAGGATGTATCTAATATTTTCGTTCACCATTTTTGTGTGAAGAATGTGCTAATGAATTATTCTAAAGATCTTATTCTGAAGTTTGATATCAGGTTATTATTTGTTAGTTTGTTCTTTGTCTGTTTCAAAATATTAAATAGGTTAACACGATATTGTGACAGCAGTACTTGTTATATGATGAGTATGTGTTATTTACAAAACAGAAATATTTGGTTTGTTGTTTAATGCCGCACTCAGCAATATTCCAGCTATATGATGGCAGTAGTTAAGTAGTTTATTTACTAGCATGTGTTGTCTAACACATGTACATGTAGTTGACTATGTTCTGTTTCTATTGCCGTTTGTGTTCCTCATGACGGCGAACCATACACAAGAAGGTTAATGGAACTACAAAATTACATTTTTCAGACAAGAGAAGTAATCAGGTCGCACTGATACTGTGCATTGAATTCATTACGAGCAAATGGAGTTGTCCCTTAAGAGTAATTGATTTTACTATCATCCCAGCAATCGCATATTAGTCACAGCAAATGATTGTGATAGAGGAATTCCAGATTAGCCGCAGCATGCATTTACAATATGCTCCTACTCAGTCCGTCCTCGCATCCTGTGAATCCTTGACCGCACATGTCCGGCAATTTGACCCATGCACGCTCTCCACGACATGTGTAATGTAGGACAATTGCTTCATTGGCAACCACGTCTTTGTCAAGCCGATTCTAAACTCGACCTGAAGATTCTAGTATCAAAAGGATATTAATTCCCGCTCCTTCCGAATACGCCTTCATTGTACCATGCAACGCGAGTGTGACTCCTTCCTAGGAATATGCATTCTGGAGGTACTCGGAGTGCCTTGAAGAATGTAGATGAAGAACGTGACTTTTTATGTGAGTTTATTAAATTACCCCAGCTAAGAACAGATGAGCGGCAACTTGTTCCCAGCTCGGGCAAAGACACAGTATTGTAATCACTGACATGAAATCTGGGGGAAGCTCGCATCGCACCCTCGTTGATAGATAGCTAATAAAAGAATCAATCTGTTTCATCCCCTTTGAGGAGATGGTGGGAAGACAGAGCGAGGTGGCCAACCAGCAAGGGAAGCAGTCGCGGCTATTGATGGAATTGAGAGAAAGAGGAGAGCACTTGTCCACTTCACATGTTACTCCGTCTACACACCCTACAAGCGCAGGTCAATAAGCAAATTGAAAGTAGCTTCAGTGGAATCCGTGTTTCCCATTGGATGACACTGGCCAGCACGTTTAAGCTAAAGTTGCCGCATTAAACATTGGGAGTATACTGTCACTACCCATTTGTAGTGATACTGTTCAACTCTTGGCTTTGGAGGGCACCAGTTTACTTCTCTGACTCTGGATAGGTGGTTTATTTCGCACAACTGATACATCGTGAACCATGGAGATTGGAATAGACATACTTCTCTGTTGTATACTCCGGCTCTGTTTTCTCTTCGGAACATTTGGAGGTGAGTCGATATCGATCCTTTCGCTGTCATTAATCCACGTATTTTTCGTGTTCGTGATATCAGTATGAATATTAATTAAAGCTTGTTCTTATTCTTTAGCAAATCTCACGTAATGAAAAGTACTTAATTATGTAATAAGCTGTCATGTTACGGTTCTCTCTCTCTCTCTCTCTCTCTCTCTCTCTCTCTCTCTCTCTCTCTCTCTCTCTTGATGGCAACTTACATACGTCTATATCTGATTGATACCCGCCCTGATATTGCTGGTATATTGTTAAAAGCTGCCTTAAACCAAACTCACTCACTCACTCACTCACTCACTCACTCACTCACTCACTCACTCACTTGAAAATGTTCTTAGCAATAACTTGTTTATGAGTGCCTTTTAAGCGCAATGGAATCTGCTTCGGCAGATAATCGGGAATAATTATTCTCTGTCGACTTTTTGCATTCATGTGTTTCACAATAATTACGTCTGGTGTTCTCTCTCATAGCTATATACTTACAGAAGCTGACATGTATTGCTCTATGTCCAGGTAGTTTTATTGCTCATGTTAATTCAATATAAAAAAATCTTTAATGTTAGTTTTATCTGATTCCACTGGCATCTATTATTTTATGTGATACATCAGAAATTGAAACCGAGAATCATTTTCAATCTGCGTTGGTTTGTCATAGGCGACATTAGAAATGCTCTCTTAGATGCGCGAGGAGCGGGATCAAGTGAGAAGTTGCGTGCTTGGTTTATAAATCCATCTTCGACGTTTCTCTCGTTTCAGTTTAAAGTTCATGTAGACGACAAAAGTGGCAAAGGACGTTTTGCCTTTACATTCAATCGATCACAACGTGCTCACGATATTTGAAAAAAACGCCTCAAAATAATTATCTGAACATGAAATCAAGTAATTGGATTATATTTTTTTCTTCTGACAAGCAAGTTTTCCGCTACATTTAAACTTTGTTATACAGGAATTAAATGGCTGCTTAATGCTGTAAAGTCAAATTAGCTTCGATAGGAACGTTCTCGTGTCTTCGGTAATGGAGCAAACCTTCTTAGCATTGTTGAAAAACGAAACTGTTCAACAGGAGACCTGACAAACAGGCATCGATTAATTCAAATCTAATATGTCATTATGCGATCAAATAAGCTGATGAATGTATTAATCATTGAACTGAACAATAAAAGGAATAGAACACAGTGGAATCTACAAATTAGGACTATAAACTTGTCAATAATGTGAAAAGGTTAGCTTAGTAAAACTTCGGCATTACACTTTGAACAAGATAGAGGCTCCACATTTCAAAATTGAAGAATTGTATTTTAGAATGGAAACACCTGTTGCTCTGATAGCATATGTAAGATGAAATGTACATTCAATCAAATCACATACTGCTTTCATATGCGCAATTCATGTCAAAAGGACATGCTTCTCTGTTTATTGATTGCCTTCATGGCGTTAATATGGACTATACAAGATGTGCTTCTATCCCCCAAGTCATATAACATTGACATGCAAACATAATGACTGATGTGTAGTTGTGTGTGTGTGACTGTGTAGGTAGTTACTGTTAAATATCGCCATTAACTTTGTACACACTTGATCTGTTGCATCTTACCATTCCTACTTGTAGACATACTTGATATGGCCCTTTAAATACCAGAAAGAGACTATACAGATCAAGAGTTGCACCACCCATAGCAAACGAATGCAGTTCCTGAACTATTCAGTTTGTGAACACCTTTGCAGCCGGACCTTGGTCCAAACCAGAACATTTGGGTTGAACACCGGCATGAAAATTTAATGTGCTAACGTTTTCAGAATCTCGGAGTGCAGGATAAGGGCCAACTTTGGCCATCTGTTAACAAGATTGCGTGCACAGATCTGCAGTACTTGGCTTTGGTTGAGACACATTTTGAGAACGATCCAGAGAACAGGCATTTTTCTGAAGGAATCCAATCAGGCTTCCATTTACTATCTCCAGTCTTGTTTAGTATCGTCAACACATTATTTATAGTCACATTCAGTTGGATACAACGGCTACTTTGGTACTGGTGGTATCGACTGGAGTCTTTAAGCGCAGACTTTATGCCCTTTCCCCGAGGGAGCAAAGCAATGATACTTCATTTTATTTCAACTGACACTAACTCTGTAGGCATTGCATTCATTAACTCTGTTACGATGTACTTGTACACAGATATTACGAATATGTTCAGCATTATAGCCGTCGTAAAAATACACGTTGTACATTAAATTGAGTTGTATGCCCCATTTACTTTATGACGGATTGTAATAAACACACTTACTGTGTGAGTGAGTGAGTGAATTTTGATAAACGCTGCAGTCAGCAATATTCTAACAATGTCATGGCGGCCTGTACTTTAATCTAGGCCAGATAAACCAGTGATTGACTTTATTAACAAAGTAATACGCCCTCGGGGTACGCTGGTATAACCCAGCACGGAGAAAGTCCACCCGATCCAATTAGTCGCCTTGTGTGACAAGCATAGTAACTGGGATCAAAGCTCTTCCGGGTACAGAAATATATGTCGTGAGGCATAAATTGTGTACCGTTAACAGTGAAGTCACACAATGAAACGGAAATGCCTAAGGAGAGTTTCCTACTCGAGTCTAATAGAATCGACAAGTACATACAACCTACACACACAAATACACTTTCCGAATATACTCTTGTCCATTTTGGTTGATCGTAGTAAATTCACTATGTTTTTTTCTACTTGATGTTCGTTCTTAACATTCATGTGTTTTGGTTTCCAAATAGTCTTAATAGCAAATGCAGTTTGATGTTTTTTTACTTTCCTAACATGAATCCTTTCATCTATTATTAAGATATTCTGCTTTATTGTCGAATCTTGTGGTTTACAATTCTCGATCAGCAGCAATCCATATTCTTAAAAGCTTGAAGCATATGCTTCGTTTTTATTTTATTTATAGCCAGTTGTTTCGTCTTGTATGGGGTCGTTGCTCGAAGACTTATTGAACGTCAATGTCTGTGGGCGGTATATAGATTTGTCAAAGTGAATTAATTAATTTGATTTGCCAGTCGTAGATATTCTCTTGGCGAATTGGATAAGTGGACGAATTAAAAGTTTTCTTGAAACAAATCTTGTTTGCCACGCTCTGAAGCTACAATGTATGACACAATCACTGTAACAATCCTTTACAATGATGGGACTTTATTCGTTCAGTTCTTTTTATTTGGACAGGTTAGATTTGAATTGCTTCGAAGGATTCTGTCATTCGACAGACAGGACAAACATTGCCATCACAAGCTTCTGATTGCTTTGAGAAAATTGCTAACCTGCATTGGTATTTGATTTTGCATTTGGAACACATTTAGACAGAAAGGTAACATTTGTTTATGTCTAATGCATCTTAATTCAATGCAGATCAAGAAAACAGCGTTATAAATATCCCCTTCCATGGGGCACATCAGAATTCTGTTTGTTCATAGTGAATAAAAACTATAAAAAAAAGATTTCTTTAAAACCTTAAGAAGAGCTGGGCACTTGGGCCGCTTCATGTCATCGGAAAAAAATGATTAAAAATGAAATTAATAAACACAAATGCCCTTTCTCCGGGAAAAATAACTCGTGATAAGTATCTCTTAGATAAGCTAACTTAAGAAGTTTTTTGAGAACACTGCAGGCAATGTGCACAGGGTAGAATTACATGGATCAAGGGCCGTAACTCTGTAAACAAATAATTTACGGGACAAATCTTCGAACTCAGTCTTGACAAGTATCTCTCGTGCAAACTTTCTTCGTGTAACTTAAGTAGTTTCTGAGAAAACTTGTCCCCATTTCACACAGTATGCACTGACTTGAAAAGCACAGATCAAGGGCCATAACTCTGTAAAAATGAATTTATGACACCAATTTTCAAACTCATTTGAGATGATGACCAGTGACATCAGTGTGTGAAATTACATTTCGCTGCTTAAATTTTTTTTTAGAAAATGTGTTCCCTTTGAGCAGCGGACAGACGGACGAATTCCTTTCTTACATTTCCTGTTCCTAATATACCACCTGTGCTAAAATCGTGAATATCTAATTACAAGGGGACTGACTGACTGACTGAATGTTTTGACACAGTTGAAACAAAGGCATGTCTTCCTTCGTCTTAAAGATGAATTTAAACTTTAAGAACTCGACGTTGCTACAGTTTATATTTCATTCCCCCGATAATAATCCGATATGTAAAACTCAAAGGACGCCTCGTAATCTTTGGTAGCTAAGTCATAAAACCAGTCTTCGCGTCTCCTGACTGTCATATTGTAATAGACACGACTGGTTCTTGTTCTAAAACAAACAGCTGATATATGAGCGGTATCGGAGTCGTTACTGTGCTTTGTAATGGTATATCATTTTTAACCCAAATATTCATGATACAAAAAACGAGCCATTGCAAATGTTCATGTATTTCGTCTACACGTAAGAATGTATATCCGTTGTCATATCAAAAAGACATATACATTCTTAGAAAAAAGAAACGCACAGGTAAATTTTTCGTATTGTACCAAATAAACTCGATATATTTGATTGAATATCATAGATACAAATATGAAATTTTGGAGCTCGATGGTGTTGTCGTAGTACAAAGGCATTGGAAACTGTTCATTGTCATGTCACATAAGGCCACAAGGTGCCGCTGAACTCGCCCCGGGTAGCAATCACGGCTCTGCATCTCATTGGCACTGATTGGATAAGTGTACGAATTCTGTCCTGCGGAATTCTGCGCTATTCTGCTTGCAACGCGTTTGCCAGTTGTGGGACTGTCTGCGGCGTGTTCTGACGTTGACGTATACGTCCACTGAGTTTATCCCAGATGTGTTCGATTGGGTTGAGAACTGGAGAGATCTCGACTGCCAGAGCAAGCAGTTGATGTTGGCATTATGAGGGTAGTCTACCGTGACACGAGCTGTGTGCGATGGAGCGTTGTCCTGCTGCAACAAGAATTTGAGGTTGAAGAATTTGATTCCAG